ATCAGTCTCCCTGCTAGGCAGGGAGCCTGCTTCTCTCTCTGCCTCTGCCTCTCTCTCTCTCTCTGACTCTCATGAATAAATAAATAAAACATTAAAAAAAAAAAAAAAAAGGAAAACGTTTTTGAGCCAGCCTTGATGGAAGAGAGGATTTGGGTAAGTGGAAGAGAAGAAATCCATGCAAGGAAGGGGAAATTAAGTTGGATGATTATGCAGGGTCCAGATTCTGGAAGGCCTTGAGAAACCAGGGGAAGGGCCTGGATTAACAGGAACCACTGATGGTTCTTGGGAGAGGGCAGGTCCCAGAAGAAAGTGATCTTTTAGGAAGGCGTGCCTCTCGTGCGTTGGCTGGCTCGGGTCAGCTGGGCGGCTGCACAGCCATCCCTCAGTGGGAATGGTAGCAGCATCAGAAATGGAGAGGCCAGGTGATCGGACTTGGTGCCAGATGGAGGAACAGGAACCAGCAGGGGCGAATTCAGGGAAACTGATGGGTGGATGAGGCCCTGACAGAAATGGGCCTGCTGGGAAGCAAAGCTTGAGCTTCTGCTCAAGGGTATCCATGCTCTTCCTCAAACTTCTGCACCCTTCTTGGGTAGAGCCAGATTTGAGGCCAATGGGCTCCTGAGCCCCAAACCACAAGGCCCAAGGCCAGGAAACCCTGTACTGCATTGGCATGGGGGTGAGAGGCAGGGAACCGTGGCCCTCTGGGACCTGCACCTACCGATCATAATCCATAACCGAGATGAGCAGGCTGACTTGATCCATGTTCTCTGGGGGAATATCAAAGATGATGGCTTCATTGTAGACAGGATTAAGAGTGTTCTTCTTTATGGTTGTCTTCTTCTTCTTCAGTCTCCGTCCATCACAAATCAGGGACACTTTGACATATGGATCTGCGCCAGTGGGGGTGACGGGAAGGGAAGGGAGCATGTTAACCAGATGTCCTGGAACATCATTTGCAGCAGAGGGACGGAAGCCACAGACCTACGGTTGCTCATCAGATGGTATCAGTGGGTTGTTAAGATAATTAAACCACCTTGCATTTATGTAGCACACCTGTCTCTGAGGACACTTCGTGCTTAATAAAACACAGAGTCTATAGCGACCTCAGGATTATTAGGAGAGGGCCTAATGGACTTTCACTAATGGGGGAAGCTGGCCTCAAATCAGACAGGACACCTGCCCGTGGGTATGCGGTTCACGGCCCTACATCCCCGCTCGGCAATGGCCGGCTGGCTCCAGAGAGTGGTGAAGCTGAACAAGTCACCCTTCCTTTCACCTGCTTGGAGTCCTTTCCTCTGGGGGTTTGTCAGCATTATTAACCAAAGGATAAGGGGGGTAAAAATAGAAGTTGATGGCACCCGAGGGGAAGCAGCATGTGAGTAAATGAACAGCGACAATCACAACACTGTTGGTGTCCTCCCCACCTGACAACAGGATTATGGGTCTCATTGTCCCAGCAAGCTCATTTCCAGCTGGCGTCAAGAAGGGCCCTGCTCTCTGCTTCCCCGGAAGCCGTTTCCTGCCCACTTCTGGGCAGAGGAGGTGGATGGAGCTGTGCTGGGGGCCGTGAGAAGGCGGCTTCCTGCGATTCGGGACAGCCCGGTGACATTTCATTGCTCAGTGGGATCTTGGATCCTCTCCATCCCCAGAGGAGGTATCTTTTTACTGAACCTCCACGTGTCTCCCGTCCCTGTCTCTTCTTTAGTTTTCTGAATAGGTATTTCGTGGGCATCCTTCTACCCTGAAATTTTCCACTCATCCGAGGGAAGTGACACCTAGTGTATCTCATAGCCCAGGTGTTTTAGGCACCATTGTAATTGTTATTTATGCTGCTCAGCTCCAGAAATGGGAGGGCGCCTCAGAGGTAATAACAGCTTTTGAGACACTGATGTGCTGAGACAACTTCTTGCCCAGAAGCCAGGGTTCCCAGGAAGCCATCAGGAGGTGTGGGCCGAGCGGCCGCTGCCCAACACCCCAAGGCCTAGGCATGCGGTTCTATGTCCTGGGCACCTGAGCACCCAGCAGGCCCTCACGCTCCCTGGGCATCGATCAGGTGGTAGCTGAGACACCCAGCTATGGGGAAGCTAGAGAGAACTACGACATGTGATCGGAAATGCCTAACCTCGAAGGCATTGCTGTAGACACCCAAAGGAGCTGCCGACTAACTAATGTGACAGGGCAGCTATGCTTTAACCATGGGGGCACTTGGGTTTACGAGGGAGCAGGGGAGACCATGATTAAAGAGCAGGTGTTTAATCAACCTGCTGTCTCCAACGACCCACTTGGAAGGTTCCTCTCTCGCGGGTGTTTTCAGTAAAAAGGAAGGCGGAGTCCTTCCTAGAACTCTAGTCTAGAGTTCTAGAACCTCTGTGAGACAGCTTTCTGGTGTCGGTGGGCTCCATTCTCTATGGATATACCCAGGGCAGTGTTCCGGCCCGAGCAGTCAGGTGGGGCAAGCTTGCTCCAAGACCCATCACTAACATGACAACGTCTACACTCCATAAGGAGGACACAGCCTTGGAAAGTGTCTTCAGGCTTGAGGCTGCTTGAGTGCTGCCCCAACACCTGCCATGCCCATTTCCATGTGCTCCCACAGCCCAGCAGAGTCCCATGCCACCAGGCTTGGAAAAATATGACAGAGCCACCTGTCCCGGAGGCCACTAGGCAGATGCCTTATTACCGACTGGGAGATTCTCAGCTTCCTTCTCCAACTCTGTTCACTCCTACGAGGCATATCCATTTATAAAACTCAGTGGGTGTAGCTCCCTTGAAGAAACCATCAGTCTCGTGATTGTCCAAGAGGCTAAGCAGAGAGATGACTGTTCCTTAGGATTCTCTGGGGGCAAAAAATGTGTGGCTTCCAGTGGAATGCTGGCTCTATAAGACCTTGGAGGGTGTTTGCTCTCTCACCGCCTGTGATGTTCAGTGCAGCTGAGGGAGGGAGGGCAAAGCCTGGCATTTCAGCCCCACAGTCATGGGAACCAACATAGTTCAGCATTCAGTATGCGCCAAGCACTGTGCTGAGATTTATGTACCTCGTGTCTTTTAAGCTTCCCACCAATGCCATAAAATATCTATCATCGTCATCCCCTTTCTTGGATAGGGAGATGGAGGCTAGAGAGATTCAGATTTGAACCTAGGTCTGTCTGACTCCCAAGTTTACACTTTAAACCACTAGACTCAAATCAGTACAGACCAGCTGTGGAGGAGATGGGTGCTTTTACTCACCACCCTTTTGTGGTGTCCTGATCCTTATTATTATTTTGTGTTATTTTCATTGTCATCGTTCCAGTGGATGGGCTTAGGGAATTGATTCATGACTAGTTATGGAATACATTCCATTGATTAAAAACATACAAAAATCCCTGTCTTCATTGTGCTTACACTCTAGAGAAAGGATACGAGACAATAAACATAATAAATAAGTAAATTACATAGGAAGTTAGAAGGTCAGGTAGCACAAGACCCTCAGGTTTGGCGGTCAATGTCATAGAAATCAAGAACAGGCAATAAGCTCCATTCACTCCCTGCTTTAGCCCAATATCCAAGCAGTCTGGGCCGAAGGCAACATGAAACTCATCCTCAAAAACAGGAGATCTAGTTTGAGAGGCCCCTGGCATGCATGCCCACACTGTTTCACCCTCTGACAAGGCTCCTCGTGCTATCCCTTCATTCATTCAAAACATATTTATTCAATGCCTATTGTGTTGCATGCACTGTTCCAGACACTTGCTTACATCTGTGAACCAAACAGACAGAAATCCCTAACAAAAAGAGGACCCCTGAATTGTCAGAATCAAGCTGTGATTTAATAGCAGATTCCAAACCCAGGTAGAAAAGAGGGTCAATTGCAAAAGGGAGATTAGAATTTAGCGTGAGAAAAATCTCTCCCCCCAACCCTCTGATGTGGAACGGCCCTTATGGTTACCTCAGTGGCTTCGCCATAAGCTCTCTCTAGCACATCTATTTAATTACTCCAGAGAAGATAGTGTGGGGACTTAGGCAGCAAAATCCTATTTCCCTCAGCAGCCTTGAGAGTCCTCAGTGAATTTCTCTCCTCAGCATGCACTTATTTTGATACTAAAATGGAATCTACATTGGCTGTAGTTTTGGAGGAAGCCGACTTGCTGGGGCCTGAGAGCTCTGCACATGTCGGAAGAGGCTCTTCAAGCTCTCCCACCACGCCCTCCCCGAAGAGCTTCAGTGGAAGGAGAGGCATTAGGGTGGGCGCGATCTTGGGGAGCGTTTGGCCTGGAAGACATGAATGCTGCACAGAGACAGTGGGGGCTGGGAGCAGAGGCTCCCAGGGGGTCAAAGCGGCAACAAATACACGTTGCTTTAGCGTTTTCCAACCAGCTTCCCCGAAACCTCATTTTTCAAGGTCTAATACCTTATGTCCTTCCAACTACACCAAGTTGCACGTGGGCCTGGAGGTGTGCAACTGGACCCAATCCCCTTTTATGGCAACTGTGACGATACTAAGGAGTTTTCCAGGCAAATAAATAATGAATAAAAGGAAAAATTGGCACCTCTGGAGTGGTTTTACACTGGAAATCTAATCCATCAGAAGAGCCTCTTGGGTGATGGGTCCAGGGAAACAAGCCTTTTCCTACATTTGCAACTCTGAGTGCAGCCAGGCTGCTCTGCGCCTCTGCTCTTCGGGACACTTCACCCCATTTCTCTTCTCGGGCTAATGTGAGCCGACAGGGGGAAGGAAGCTCCTGGGACTCAAACTAAGCCTCTGTTGTATCAAAACTCAAATACCTTCTCTGACAATGACTTGCAGAATCATGGAAAAGGATCTGTCTCAGCAGCGGCCCCCAAGCAAGCCTTGGCTCAGTTGCTAGAACAGGACTGTTTCTGTACCTAACAGCAATCCTGGTGCTGAGGCTGGGGCCAGGAGCCCCGCAGGAAAAACTCAAAGTACAAATACACTTGGTTTTGCAGCGGCTTTGCCCCTTTGACTAGGTCTGCGGGGCTGCGTGGGGCTGTGCTGACCTACAAACATTTACACACTCAAACTTGACAAAACCCTCGAAAGTCCTGGGGCCTCGTATAACTAGAAAGATTTTCCGTATTTTTTTTTTTCTCCTACGTCTTTACTTCTTATTCTCTCTCTCCTTTGAGGGAAAATGATAGGAGGAGCTAATGTCTACTGAGCGTATATTATGTGTCTGGCACAACTCTAAGCACCTACACGAATGAACTCATTTATCCCTTAAAGCAACCTGCATAAGTTATTTTTTCCAGATTCGGAAATCAAAGCATTGCACAGCGAGGAAGGGACAGAACTGGGATTGGAATCCAGAGCTGGTGCTCCTCTTCTAAGAGTACTGACAGTTCTTCTCCCTTCTCTCTAAGCATCTTTCCAGGTGCTAACGTCTGGGTGGCTGGCAGGCCACTTGGGGAGGAGAGGTACCTGAGTAGCCTGTGATGTCCATTGCCTTGAGGTTCCGACATTTGATCACTGTGAGGGTGAGCCGGCCCGCTGTGGGCAGGTAGCACAAGGAGAACATGATCTCTCCCAGATCCACGCTTTCCTGCAAAGAAGCAGACAAGAGGGCAGATGAGAGGCACACGGCTCCCAGGGCCACTGCCGCGGGCCACTCTGGGGCCCAGGAGAAGGCTCTTTGAGGCAGAGTACCACATCTTTTGGACCCGAGGGTCTGGCCTCCATGCTGGGAGTACCTGGGAATAAAAGACAATGATAACGATATTGCCTCTTCAGTAGAATCTGCCCCGTGCATTGTTCCTTCTCAACTCTGCTCAGGTGCTGGTCCCGGTCCTTGCCATCCTGCTGTGTCCTGCCCTGCCCTCCATGTGCCCCTTGGCTGTAGCCTCGAGACCAGCAGCCCCGGAGTGGCCCAGTCCCATTCCCCTCCAGCTCGCCCTTCTTGGCCGTTGGTCCCCTTGACCCCACACCCCAGCCCCCTGCCTGGCTGTGGTCATGACAGCGTCCTGCACAAGACACCCTCCGGCCATCCAGCGCTCTCTCCCGGCAGGTCTTCCAGCCCCCAGCTCGTTGTTCCTCACAAGTCCCTCTGCCCAGCAGCTTCCCCACCTCTCCAGAGACCTGCCCAGCTCTCTAACTTCCAGACCTCGGCACGAAAGCACAAGGGATCGTGACCTGGCTCAGGCCATGCTGCCCACCAAGGAGATGTGCACTCCCCATCCCAGGTCTGTGCCACGTCTCCATGTCTCGGATCCACCTTGTCCTTTTTCCCTCAGATGTGATCATCCTTCAAATATGACCCGGCAGGGACTATACACTCTGCTATCTCGCCTGCCCCCTGGGGCTCCGAATCCTAGGAAGTTTCTCAGTAATGGGGAAGATGAAAACTTCAAAGAGGGTAAGCATGTCTGTCTGTCAAGTTAAATAGCACTTTGCCGGACTGCTTCCTCTCCCTGCTCCCCACTTGATGAAGGAGGATGCTGTTGCTGCCAGACCTCCCCCCAGGCTCTGAGGCTGGCCTGGTGCCCCCAACCCCTGACACTGGATGGAGGAAGAGGGCACGGTTTGGAGTGGCTCTGATTTCAGATGGGGCCATCCACTGGCTCATTCATTCGTTCAGTCAATCAACCAATGTTCACTCAGCACCTGCTGTGTGCAGGTGTTGTTCTGGGTGCTAGAGATATGGGAAAGAACAAAATACAACACCCCCCCCCTCCTGCCCCGACTGCCCTTACGGAGCTTACATTTTACTTGGGCACAGGACAAGAAAAAAAGATAAAAAGACCGTTCAAAGTATCAAGGAGAAAAATGTAAGGCAGGGCAGGAGGATGTGTAATGCACATAGGGGGAGGCTTAGTTGTTTGAATTTTAGACAGGCTGGCCAGGGAAGGCCTCCCTGAGGAGGCGATGTGTGAGAAAGAGAGCAGTCAAGGGTGACACCAAGGTTTTTGTTCCCTCTCCTCACAAAGAACCCCCCTTGACCGGGGACTCCTAGAGACACCTGATACCTGGCCCCAGCTGGAGACAATCCAAGCCTCTCCCATCACCCGCCAGAGCATGTGGTCCCAGGGCTCTCCTCTAGGTGGAACTGGTACCCACCCTCGCCCTAGCGCGAGATTCAGTCTTGGTCTTTAAATCCCAGAGTAGCAGAAGGGGAAACACCCAGCTCCCCAGGAGGGGGTCTGGCTGGGGCAGAGCTGTATGCTCTGTAGAGGCGGGACCCCCTCCAGCACACAGAACCCCGTGGCGCCACACAGCTGGGAGCTGAGACCCACACCTACGAGCTCCTATGCGCGCATCAACTCTGTGAGGCGGGGAGTGTTGTCCTTATTCCCTCCACTTCACAGACTCAAGAGCTCAGTGTTCAAACTCAGGTCTCGAAGCTCTGCCCAGGCTTACACAGCTGGTGGGAGATGCAGCTGGACTCTCGACTCAGGAGAGCGCTCCTCAAACTCTCCATCTTGGAGCACCTTCCAGCTGACCCAGGGAGCACCCCAAGGTGACCCTGGCTCCTCTAGACCTTGGCTCCGTGCTCTGTGGCGAGGACACAGTCCCTCCCTCAACACACACATGGTCTCGTGGGGTGTACCAGTTAGAAGAAGGTGCCAGGGTCCCCATCTCCCTCAGGTGTGGCTCCTCTCTCCCTGGTCCCCTAGTCCAAAGAGGGAGACACAGGAAACAGCCCTGTGACATGGTGTTGAGGGAGTGTGACCTTTCCATCAATGTAGTAGGTCCCCGGTGCACCTGGCTGAAAGTTCTATCTCTGACCAAGGCACTGAGGTACAAGGGGGCCCCTGGCTCGCTTTATTTCCCTCATAACCCGCCTAGGTTCATTCCTGCCCAAAGTTAGAGAAACCTTTCAGATTCAGTAACAGCGAGAAGAACTAACACTCTTATGTGTCTGCCATATGCCAAGTCTGTTGCCAAATGATCTCAGTGAGTCTTACCACAGCCCTACAAGCTAGGTGCTCTTATCATCCCCACTGCAAACAGGAGGAAAGGACTGTTTGGTGAAGGGAAGTAGCTGGCCCAAGTTAAGTAACTTGCGCGACTAGTGAGTGCTCTGGTGCCCATTTATATAGATCAAGCCTGCTGCTTCAACACCCCAGTGGCTCCCCTTGTTCGGCTTCTGGAATCAAGGCCCATCTTCTTAGCTTGCATTGAGGCCCCTCAACAATGGGGTCCCGTCTTACTACCTCACCTGATTATTTTCTCTATTCCTCTATGACAATCCTCTGCTCCACAGGGCTGATGTAGCTTTGGTCCCTTTTGCCAGAATGTTCCTCCTCTTGTCTTGGCATAGACAATCTTATGCATCTTGCAGGGGTCCTCACCCAGGGTCCAGCCCACAGAGAGCATCTCTCCCCCACACCCCTGTAGCACCTTCTGCCCCTGAGCCACAGGTGTTACCAAGTCCCCCCCTCTGCTGCTGCCGTGCCCTCCCACCAGCATCTGGTGAGTGGAGGCCCCTCTGGGGCTAGGCCTTGCTTTACACCTACTTGTGCTTCGGAGGTGGCCCGAGCACGAGAGGAACTACATGAATGCAGGTAGAAACACATGGTCATATCTTAGCCAGGAGAGCCCTGGAAGGAATGGTTCTCCACGTCAATGTTGCCATCAGGGCCGGGCCTGGAAGGAATCCTGTGGCCCCTCTGAAGGGACTGGTTTCTCTACCACTGTCATCCTGCAATGCAGAGTGGCCCTTTTAAGGGCTGTCTTAATTTGGGAGAGTCTGAGTTGATTTGTTTATGGACTCAGGAGACTGGCTTGGGGTGTGGGAGATCTCTCGGGGTAAATGGAATCAAGTGCAGCTCTCTGCACCGCTCTCAAGGATGGCTCCCTCCAGGGGAGCACCGACCCAGCAGGGCCCCCTCTTTTCTGCAGGGGTGCCCTTTCTTGGACAGGACTGTGGCAGTTGGACAGCACGCGGGTGTTGAGTCTACAGCATGGGGTGGGGCTCTCTACCCCCACCCTGGTCCCTGCTCCCGACCGTGAACTCCTTTCTCCATCCATAGGAAAGGGAACGAGCCAAGATCCCCCCATGACTTGCAGGCGGAGAGAAAACAGGAGTCAAGGGGCCTGCAGCTGGGCCCAGGACCTTCTGCCGTGGGTGACTGGGCCTCATGGGGCCTGACCACAAGTTGGTTGCCCTTGGCTCAATGATCAAGGGGGGTGTTGTTCCCCTGTACATGCAGGCAGCAGAGGCCTGGCCTGTTTGATAAAGGAAAATAAACAGGTTACTTTTGAGTAAATAGAGGGATGGGGGGCTAAGCAAACAGAGAGTCAGCTTTTCCTGGCAGCCACCTCCCTCTCTGGAAAGCTGGGCCCCAGCTCAGCCCCCTTGGGTGGTCTTGCCAGATCCTTGCTCTGCCCCACCCCCTTTCTTAGGAGGTTTCAGCCCCAGATCCTATATTCCTTGCCAGCCTTTTATCCTCATTAGTGATGCCTGAGACTTTGGCTTTAATAAAACCAGGGTGACCAGGGGCTGCAGAACAGCCCGCACATTATTGCTTTCATCTTCACTGGCTGTCAGGGGAGGCCACCTTAGGGCCCCTGATTGGTAATGAGCTCCCCAGTGATGGAGAGGTCACTGCTGTCCAGAAATGGGCAGAAACGAACTTGGCCCTCTCGACTGCTAACCTGCAGGCTGAGGGGGCAGATGGGGGCCCAGGAGCAGTTGGCTTTCAGTCCTGGCTAGAGTTTGGAGGGGGCAGACCTGCTGCCAGGGGAGGGACAGCCAGGGTGTTGGCTCCTGGAAAAGTCTGCCCTTAGGTGCAACCCGTCCACCTGATACCAGCCCTCTCCCCTGGCTGCAGTGCCCAGGCGTCTGGGCAGTAAGATTCTGAAAGTCCCATCCACGGCATGCCATTGCTCTTGCTGGTTCCCCAGTAGGCTGTCTGCAACAGCATTTCCTTCTCTTCGATGCACGCACAGAACCCTAAGCATAGAAGAGAATTCCTATCTGTGGGCTGCCCAGGAAAAAGCAGTGAACCACAAGTCAGGAGACTTGGGCTTCGTCCCTCAGCCTCCAACCAGCCACGAGAACTTGGGCATTTCATTTCTCATCTCTGTAAAATGAGATGATCGTCCTAAATGTTCTAGCCCCCAGGTCCCTCCCTGCCAGCCATACAAACCGAGGATTCACACTGGAAAACCTACCATCAACATCACCAGTTGAGATGGCCCAAGGATGCCTGACTGTTGTCTATCGCCCGCCTCAAGGAATCTAGCAACTTCGCCTTGAAATCCAAATGCGCTCATTCCTTCGGTCCCCGCTGCCCCCAAGTGTTTGATTCTTCTCCAGGGCTAGCCGCCTTCTCTTCCTCCCAAATAGGCAATGAGTGGCGTCCATGCTCCGTGTCTGTCTGGGAATCCAGACTGAGCGAAGCAAGAATCATGCTTCCCCATCTCTTAGAGAACACTTCTTGTCTCTTAATCATTAAGTGGCTTGTCTGAATCTCTCATCATCAGCAGAGAAGCATCCACTATACTTTTAGGAAGGCCACAGGAGACCTAAAAGGATCTCTGAAGCACGGGGCAGGAAGTGCTGTTAAGCTACCCCAGGGCAGGGGGGCCTGGAAGAGAGACACTTGGCTCCAGTGGGTAGAAAAACATCCAGTGAGCAATCCCTCTGTGAAGGCCTGAGGCTTGGAATCAGGGGCAGAGCTGAGTCAGAGATGGAGTCTGGCACTTGGGGCTGGGCCATTTCCTCTGCACTCTGCCCC